TAGCTTGTTAAGATATGTACTAGTTTGTCACTGTTATATGAGCTGAGGCATTACTAACATTGAGGGTTATTTCTCTATTGTTTTGTTGTTGTAATTTTCATGTTTAGACTTCATTTTGATGTTCGTAAAACAAGGCTAGGTAAAGCATCCTCAATTGCATGGGATTCTTCCGAGTAGTAGTGAATTGAATAATTTTTATCATATATTGATTAGTTTTGTCAAGAAAGGGAAAGTTTTGTCAAGAAACTAGAAATCTTCATCTATTCACTTTTAACGAACCAAGATTCTCTAGAAAAAGGCCGACTCACAAGATCCAAAATAGTTTCAATTCGTTCAGATTGTCGTAATTGTATAGTATGACACCACAGTCTTCTATGCAAGGTTTATTACTATTTAAAGTGAACTATTCAGATTAGTTAGAACATTGTGACGGGCCTAGGAAAATCATTTGAAATCATACGTGCTTGTGACTCGCGGACACACAATAATCCCAATAACTTCAGAAAATTTGCTTGTCTATATCAATACAATTTAATTAAAATGCAGTGAGGGAACAATTTTTTTATATTGTAATTCAATCATGAATATCATATTAACAAATTTCATTTATTTTTATAATATTTAAATTACAAACTATAATTATTTTGAATGAAAAAAAATTACTGATAATATATCCAAATTCAACTCATTAATATTGCACTCTTTGAATTAAATTTGTTTAATTATTATTCTTTCAGCAATTAAAATAAGCGTTTGTTGATCTTCGTATTTTCTTCTTACATAGTACTACTGGTTACATTTATTCTTTTGCATGTTTTGAAATCAATGAATCATTGGGATGGTTTGTTTTGTAAACAGGAGAGTTTTTACGAACTGGGGCGATATATCAAATCATAATACTGCAGGAACTACAGTTCATTTTCGTTTGACGACAAATGCTAAAATCATTTCGATCTCACTATTCATATATAGCTCAGTAGAAAGGAAGAAGTAAGTAATACACAAATTAAAGAAAGGTAAATTCAGTCCTCAAAAGTATAAAACTCAGACCTCTAAATAAGTATTTTTTATCCTCTAGCATCTCAAAATAATTAAATTAAGAGTAGAACTATTAAATCTCTATTTTATACCAATAAAGATTGAGTCTTGTGGAAGGAGATAGTCACTCAATGAAAAATTACAGTTTTAATCAAAGATACATATTTAAAACCTAACTGTATTTTAGGTGGATTATCTTTTTTAAAATACTCTTTAATATATTTATTTATAGTTCTCAGCTTTTAAATATATACCAAAATTTTTAAGGCATAAGACTCTCATGCAGCTATACTGTCCAACAAGAAAGCAAAAGAAGCATATATCCCAAGTTCGGCAAGAAAAGAAGCCTGAAGTATTCACATCCATAGAAACTAACTTTCTTTCGATGTAAGAAGTGGCTTTCTCTGCATGTGATTCTCAGGCTTGGAACCACCACCACTGCTGCAGAAGGAGCCAAGAAATATCAATTAATTGCTCCCCCCACACAAACACTGAACCATCTTTCTGTTGCATTTCACTGACAAATACTTGAGGTGAACACAAACACGAATCTTCTCACCCAGTTACCCTTAATTTCACTAATACGTACTTTTTTCTATGTTTTGTATAATATAGTAATATTGTTTCTCTTTTATCCATCCAGTGACCAAACTAATTAGTAGTAATTATTAAAGAATGTCATTACTCATTATCAAATGAGGTTCTACTCTTGCATTGCTCATTTTGTGTTGGCTTGAGTTGAATTATTATTTTATAAAAAATATTAACCTTAATTTTTAGACTTGATTTTAAGTAATTGAAAATGATTTTTTATTAAATTTTTTTATTATATTAAAATATAAAAACAATAAATATTAAGAATTAAAATGAACAAAATCATTATTTTTTTACTAAGGTCACCAGGAGTAAATGTAACGGCAATTTTTTTAACACGTGGTTTAAAATTTCTCTTGGCGGAACGGATCTGTGTACAACTAATGTTCTGTATCTTGAAAAAGAGGTATTTTAATGTTTTATTAATTCCTTTTGTGCTTTAAGGAATTTTTTTCCCTTTTTTTTTTTTTACTGAGATCAAGTACGCTAGCATTTTTGGTAGATGGGATCTTTTATAAATTTATAAATTATATGAAAAATTTTAATTTTTTTTTGTGCTGTAAATTATAAGGATTGAAAATTAGTTGTTACTAGTTTGGAACGTGAATAAAAAAATATTAAAGAAAGGTATTTTGATATTTGTTCAGAAGAAAAATTTTTGAATAAGGAAAGTAATAGTAGGAAGTACAATAAGGGAATAAATGTAGAACAATAAACATATTTTCAATTTTTAAATTTTGAATTAACAACTATAATTGTAACTTCTTTGCTTTAAAGTGCACGTACCATTCATCATAGAGAAAAATAAAATAGAATACATATCTTCAAACTCAAAAAGAAATTTATAACAATTAACCAAAAAGGATTTTGTGTAATGCTAAGTGCACTCTCATACCAAGTCATTAACTAAATACCTCAAGAGGTTAAGTTATTTAGTAAAAATAAGGAATGGTCTTGTGCTTTTTAACGAGAGTCATTTTTTAACTTAAAGCGTGAATATTGACATACGCGTTGACTTAGAAAAGAAAATAATTGTTAAAAGGATAACATAAGGGATCGTTAATGAAAAAATGATACAGTTGAATATTAATAAAAGAAGCTACTAATTAAATTAAATGTAGGGGACGAAAAAATGAAATGAATCTGAAATGTCGTGTCGGTCTCTCCAAAGGACACACGGTTTCTTTTATTATATGATAAGCTTCATATGGTTGGAGTAAATGTTAATGTGACATTTAAGCTTGAAACCACAGTATGGTTAACATGCTGGTACAGGTGTTTGTTGGAGCAAATAGTAGTACGCAATTCGACATTATCAATGCTAATGTATTATGCAGGACATCACATGTGAATGAACTACTAGCTAGCTACTAGGTTCTACCATTAATAACTACTAGCGTGTCATTCAAAAAGGGGGCGAATTCATTAACTTGCTTTTAGGACAAAATCGTTTTCCACATGGAAAAGGGAACATCTCCATGGCCTTTAAAAGCATTTCAATATTTTAAAATACCACAAATTTAATAATTAACTTTTTAATATAATCTTAATTATTAGTTTAATTTTTTTTAAAAAAATACTAAATTATATATAAGAAAGAGTGAAAATACACGACAAATGTGGCCTATATGTAATCTGCAAAAGATAATGTCTAATGTGACTTTTTTTCTTTGGGTAAACTAAGGAGGCGAGCGAAGATAAAAGAATCTCCAGCAGTGTCAGCCAAACGTTAATTCAATAGGCAAGGAAGGGGAAAACTACGACTAATTAAAATTGAAATGAGTGATTTAGCAAGAATGTCCTTGATGTTATAGATTAAAGGAGAATGTTTATGAAAAGAAGAAACATTACCCTTGCTAATTAGTAAAACTACTTTCACACCATAATTTAACCTAAGGAGAATCTTGAATCACATAATCACATCTCCAACACCAGCAATGCCTGAATTTTCCTTATTAACGTGACTTTACAAACCAAAATGTGATTCTATTCCATTCATTTCACTAATTAATATTTTAATAAAACAACTATTCCATTTATTAATATGATATGTTTTTGGATCTCCAGTCTGAATTTTCTCTTTTTTTATTCAATAAAAAATAAAAAATTTGAATAAATTCATTATTTTCATACGGAATAGTATTATGACTGAAACAATCATCGTAGTACAGTATACAAGTTATATGTAACTCGTGCTTTATACAGTTTGTTAAACCTATACATTAAATAGTGTATTTTTAAATTTATTTTTTCATTTTTTAATTCATATTTTAGTATACATGATAAACTATTTACATTTTAATTTACATATTAATAGATGTAATTAACTAATCAAATAAATAAAAAGAAGAAATTTTTATTTTAAGTTTAGAGTTCGATTATCAAAGTTTTTGAATCATGCGGTAACAAATCAATTTTCGTAAATAAATTTATGTTATATAGGTATAGAATTATTTATTATAATAGTATAAAATATTAGTATAATTTTCGTATTTTTGTAATCCTCTTTATTTTTTATAATATAAAAATATAATATAGAAAAAAGTATATATTAAATTTAAACTTTAATTTGTTCTTATTATAAATTAAATTTTATTCAGTTCCTTGAAATTTATTTAATTTTAATTCATTCTTTTAAATTTGTTTGATATTAAATGTATTTTATGTTAAAATAAATAAAAATCATTTTAATTTTTTAAAACTTAATTAATATAAAGACATTTTAAAAATGATGCTAAATAAATATTTGAAGAATTAAATAAGTAGTTTAATATCTTTGAAAATAAATTATAGTACTCTAATTTTAAGTGTATAACAATTTAAATAGTATTGACTTAATTAATATTGCAATGATTAATAAATTTATACGTTTAAAACACGTTAGTTCAAATTTAGTTATTATTTTATTTATTTAATACATGAATTTGTTAATTTTAGACAGATTTTTAAACAGTCTTTACAAAAAGTAATATTATTTAAAATATGATTAAACATTAGAAGATAATTTTTTTTAATCAAACTAAAACTATAAAAAGTTTTTACTATTTAGTCTTCAAATGTATTGATTTATACACTTTTTAATTATTTAAAATGAGAGTAAAATATAAGTTGAACTAATATATTTAAAGGCTAAATTGTAATAATACTTTCGAAGATCATGTAATTTCTTAAAAAATTAAAATGTGAGTGAATTGATTAATTTAAAGATAAAATTATAAAACAAATTAAAAAAATCACTTTGAGGGCCGATTTCGAATTTACTCGAAAATTCATTTAAGAAATAATTTGACGTTATCCAATTTGATCTACTCTTTCAACCTCACTAATAAAATAACTATTTTATATATTTTTTTTATGTTTAAAAATTTATAGAATCTGGTTTGAGTCACATTACATTCATTGGGACGCATAGGGGAAGTTCTCTGGTTCCTTCCTCAGTCCCTCCCACACTCTGCGGTGTGAAGCGGCAAACTGAGTGAAATGTCGCGCACTCGCATTGCCGTTCACCGCTTTCGCTACACCTTCACCGCATCACCACCACCACCATCATCTTCTCCAATTACTCGCTTCCAATTCCAATGTCCCCAACAATATCTCACGCGCTCACCGTTCCATTATTTTCGTTATTCTTCATCCTCCCCTAAACAACGCGATTCAGAATATCCGAGTGGTGACTTTCATTTCGAGCCCGTTACGGGATGGAAAAAGCTCATGGTCAAGCTCAAAATGCTGGTAGCCTTCCCCTGGGAGCGTCTCCGCTACGGCACCGTTTTCACGATCAAGTTGCGCGGCCAGGTTTCACTGAGTGAAGATATTTGATTATGGTGTGCTAATGCTTAATTAACTAAACTAGTTTTTTATTATTTGTGTGATTTCGCATAGATATCGGATCAGCTGAAGAGTAGATTCTCCCCTGGATTATCTCTGCCTCAAATTTGTGATAATTTCTTCAAAGCTACATATGATCCTCGCATTTCCGGCATCTATCTTCATATCGATATTTTGAATTGCGGTTGGGCCAAGGTCGAGGAAATTCGTAGGCAAATATTGAATTTCAAAAAATCAGGTGCGTGCTTTGGACATTCTTACAACTCTCTCTTCGAAAGAGGAATGTAGGAACACGCATTATTGAAATTAGTGAGTTTTTAGGGAGTATTATTAAGTTAAAAAAAATTTAAATAAAAAATTAAAGATATATTATATGATTATTTTAAAAATTATAAAGTTTTTGAAAAATATTTTATTTATTAATAGATTGTTTTATTGTATTAAATAAATTAAATTAAAGAGATGGAATTTTTTAAAAAAATTATGAAAAATTTAAAATTAAAATTGAATTAAAACAAATAAATGTTTAATATAAAGAAAATATACGTAATATAATTAGGAAGAAAATTAATTCATAAATACTCTCGATTAAAAATTAAAGCTCACAATTTATATATAAAGAATAAAGATTGAGATGTAACATTTTCTGTTTATTAGTTACATTCCGTTTTTACAATATTATCAAATGAAGAAGTGTAAAGTCTAAGAAAATGTAATTTACTTTTTAATCAATGTATTCTTTAGAGAAGAGTCAAGCGAATTATTTATTTATTCAAAATGAATCATTATCTATGTTAATTGTTAAAAGTGGCAAGTGCGTACCATTCTTCTTTTGTGTCTAAGTCAGTATGTTTTCTCTTCTCCCATAAAACACCAATACATATGATTTTCTGAGACTAAGATGCAACTGAAGTTTATATTACGTCACGATTACATATGGGGATTAGTGATGTTAAATATACGATGTTACTCTTTGAATCACTAATATCTGGATCTATAAGTACTCATCGTTGTTCTTTATGAAATATGAAAGGCTTTGTTATATATGATGCTTGTAGGAAAATTTATTGTGGCTTATGTCGCTTCATGTCGAGAAAAAGAGTATTACATTGCATGCGCGTGTGATGAGATATATGCACCTCCAAGTGCTTATTTTTCTTTGTTTGGATTGACCGTTCAAGCCCCGTTCCTCAGAGGTAAGCTGATTCTGCTTTTCCTTGTATTTTTCGGGCAAAGGTTCACGTTTTAGTGATTGCTGCTTCCTACTAAATCAATAAATAAAAATTCATGGCATGTCAATTATTCAGATGTATGTATTTATGGCATCAGCTCAGATTTTAGGCTATGGAACAACCATAAGTTATAAAAATATTTTAGATTTCTACAGAAAAGTTAGTTTTTATGGCACAAAAATTAAAAAAAAATGCTTAGAATTGTGAGGAAAATGAACTCATCTTTATTTAATAGAATCTGTATTTTTATAATAATTCAAATAAATTAGAAACTAATTACATAACCAAAAGATTTTTAAGAAACTGGGATAATAAACCAAATTATTTCTAAAATGTAAGAACTATTTGTTGACTGGGATACTTGTGTAATAAATTAAAACAACAAAAAACAAATGAAAGCAATCAGAAAAGTATATTATTAACGCTACTTCTTATTTTTTAAACTGTAAATTTATTTTTTTTTGCAATTTAAATTTGTAACATAAAGTAAATTTATTGTTAATAAGAATTTTGTATTTTCATTTTAGTTCAAATTAGAATTAAATAAAATATTCTCACATTGTTAACTGAGTTATTTCAGTCGCTATTAGTAAAATCAGACAACTAAACTTTTTTACTCATCTTGAAGTTGATGCTTGAGTTACATGTGCATTTGAAATATTTAACTATTCACTTTGCAACTATAATATGTCTTTCATTTACAATGTAGATAAAACAAAAAAACTTACATTCAGCGTCAAGATATTAAGATGAATTGTTGTAATATTTTCTTTGCATAAGAAAATTGTTTGCTCCTCCTTCAATACATTTAGAGTAATTTTTTTTTATTTTTACTTTAAAAATATTTTGACCAACTTCATCTTTAATCAAACAATATTTATTTTCAAAAATAACTTTAAACCCTATTTCAATTAGTTGATCAACATTTGGTAAATTTTTGTCAATTTCAGAAACCAAAAGAACATAATAAATTAATTTTGTGCCTAAATAACTTTGCTATTGCTATTGTCTCCATTCTTTTGACTAAGATGGAATCACCATTACCTATTTTGACTTTGATGATATTAGTTGACATCATATCTTTAAAGAGTTTTTTTGTTGGTAGTCATGTGATTAGTACAACAACTATCAATTAGTCAATCTTCATTTGATTTAAAGTCTGAGAAGTAATTAGTAACAAATAAATGATCTTTTCTTCTTGATCAACAATTTAAACCTTTTCATCTTGGTGTTGATTTTTATTCTTACATATAACACTTTCGTGTCCAAATAAGCATTTATTGCATTGTGTATCAAGTCTCCTCCAATATTTGAAAGAAGAATAACTATTTTTTTCACAATAATGATATGGAGGATAAGATTTTTTGTTGTGGTATCTTGCACTTTTATGATGCGTGACATGTAAGACTCTTTCAAGAATACCTTATTGTCTCATTGCACGTCTTTAATCTTATGCTTATAAGACTTTTAAGAGTTTTACTGGTGTGATTTTGAACAAGTATTTAATATTTTCTAAGATGGTGAATGTAGCTTCAAATCTTTCACACACCATTACAAGGATTTTTCCTACCATTCTAGAATTAGAAAACTTAGTACTTAGTAATCTTACCTGGTTAGCTATGTCAAGTATATTATTTGAGTATATTTTGGTTGTCTAAACTCTTTTATTCTTAGAAGTTCAAATTCTTTCATCAAATTAACCACTTGCATGCTTCAAATTATTTCATTTCTTACATATTCTTCTTTTAAATAATCTTAAATTGCTTTTGTTGTCTTTAAAGTAATGATTTTTGGTGAAGATAAATGTTGAAACACCAATAAAAGGACATGATTTTTCCTTTGACTTTTGTGTTATTCTCTCCTTGTAACTTATTATTTGAGTTATGTTAAGATTGCGCGATAGTAAAAGAACTTTGTAATCATCTTCAACAGCTTTTTAAATATTTGAAGCCTCTAACTAAGTTTCCATTTTGATAGTTCAAAGATCATAGTTTTTTTCATAAAAAATAAAAGAAATAATTTGTGAAAAATTTGACTAAGCATCTATTTTCATAGATATGTAAGAAGACATCTCTTAATACCACTTTCTTAATTTTTATGACACAAAATTAAAAAAATAAAGAAGGAAAAAATGCGTAAAATTGTGAAAAGAATAAACTCATTTATTCAATAGAAATAGTACATTTATAATAATTTAAATAAAACAAAAAATAATTACATAATTGAAAGATTTTTAACAAACTTGGATAACAAATTAAATTATTTCTAAAATGTAAAAACTATTTATTGACTAAGATAATGATATAATAAACTAAAATAAAAAAAATAACTGAAAACAGTTGAAAAAGTATATTTTTAACAAAAATAATTAAAAAAAAAACATTTTCTTATATAAACGTTTAAAATAGTACAATAACAACAACAATCAAGTCTTATTCCATTAGGTGAAACTGGTTACATAAATTACACGGCACCGTTGAACTTGATTAAAATGAAGGAATCATTAAAACAGTAAATAAAATAAAAGTAAGGTTGCATTTTTATAATTAAAAATAAAATAAAAAAATTTATCAAATCAAATAGGCCCTTAAGTTCTTTGATGACTATACTTAGCCTAAAACTATTTCTTTTTATGTCATTTATTATTTCTCTCAGGTGTTTTAGAGAAACTCGGAATTGAACCTCAAGTGGAAAGAATTGGCAAGTACAAAAGTGTAGGAGATCAACTAACCCGTAGAACCATGTCTGAAGATCATCATGAGATGCTGACTGCATTGCTCGATAATATCTATACAAATTGGCTAGACAAAGTCTCCTCTGCTAGAGGTGCATGTTATTTAAAGACCTAGTCGAATCTCAAATTAAAATATTAACTTTCGAGCTTCTGCAAATTCTATACAGGAAAGAAAAGAGAAGATATTGAGAACTTCATAAATGAAGGTGCCTATCAAGTGGACAGGCTTAAAGAAGAGGGCTTCATATCAGACATAATCTATGATGATGAGGTGCTTGATGTACTCTGATGTTATATGACTGATTACTTGCATGAGTCAAGCTGTCACTTGCCGGCATGATTAATATAATCATATTAAGAGAGCATGACAGAATCTCATCTAGAGTGGATGCAAAGTTTAATGGAAACAATCTGAAAGGGAGTTTTTGTTCAGATTCTTTTGAGTTTGTTGGTTTTATTTGCTTCTTCTTTCAATTAACTTGTAGACCCTACTTCATTCATTTGTGTTGATAATTAATACTGGTTTACAAAATGATTTGAAGATACCAAATCACAGGATTAAAACTTAAAAGGATAGGAAACATTATATGTTTCGCAGGTTATCGCCAGGTTGAAAGAAAGACTTCAAGTGAAAAATAAAAATTTGCCTATGGTTGATTACAGGTAATTTTTTCCCCCTTCTAGGGCCTTAAGGAATATAATATGGTTTACATTGAAATTTTGAATTATGACATTTATTTAAGTTGATAAATTAAATATAGCAAATAGCTCACATTAACCATATGCAGATGTTTTTTTCCTCAAATACAGAAAATACTCTGGAGTTAGGAAATCAACTATTGGACTCTCGGGTGGCAAAGAGCTGATAGCTATCATCCGAGCCTCAGGGAGCATTCGTCGTATTGAGAGTCCATTAAGTTCCCGTAGCTCAGGTATCATCGGAGAGAAGTTCATTGAGAAGATACGCAGTGTTAGAGGTACACTTGAGCTAATAAAGTTACCTTGTTTAAATTTTAAGGAAGAGGCTAAGTGAAATTGGAACATAATTAGTGGAATGTCATGAGGCTATTTACTTAAATTATGGCAATTTTTGTTAGTGCAGCATCATAATTACATTTTTTTGTTACATTATTCACTGTTGTCATGTCACTATAACAGCTGGGAAGTGTGGTATTGCACTTAAAATTTTTCAAATAAACATGGGCCTTTAGAACTGATGTGTCTGTCCCAAGACTTTGACAAATGATTGTAGAAAAGAAGCTGCAAGAACATACTCAGGGATTACAGTTCTTATAAGTTCTTGCAACTAAAGATGGACCTTCAGAACTATGGTTTCCTTCCCAAGTCTGATGTATAAATTTTACAGAGACCTGTCTGCTGGAGGAAATAGGAGAAAACAAGTAAACAGGTGGATTGGAGAATCTTCATCCATAAGTTCCAGGATGTAATCAGTGCGGGTTAATTATGTTCATTTAGGTAACTTGAGTATCAAATAGCAAGGTGCAACTGATCTATTGGCTTGTGGGACCATAACACATGGATAGCATTGGCTTCCATTGTTCAGCTATGATGCTGTTTGGCAAAAGCATTGTCATGCTTTATTCTTTTTGCTTATTATATCTGTGCCATAGTTTGTATCCTGGTCACACTGAGCCTCCTTTTTCTACAGAGTCAAAGAAGTATAAGGCTGCTATTATCCGGATTGACAGTCCAGGAGGTGATGCTCTTGCTTCTGATTTGTAAGTTCTGGCAAATTTCCCACTTTTCAAATTGCACTCTGTTGATCTGACATACCAGCAATGGTTGGATGGATACATTTAGGAAAGATCTCTACTACAGCAATAATACTCTGAATGAATGTGTACTATTTGATTTTTCCTTTAGAACATTTTTCAGATGTTGCTTTTAGATTTGAGAGATATAGCTTTAGTTGTCTAGTTAAATTTGAAATATTTCTGTGATCTTTGTCATGAAATTGTGATGCTAATTGCCAAGTATTTTGATGTGATTTTTTGTTGAACTGTTGTTGTCATGATCTGCAGGATGTGGAGAGAAATCAGGCTTCTGGCTGCCTCAAAACCAGTCATCGCTTCAATGTCTGATGTGGCAGCAAGTGGAGGGTACTACATGGCAATGGGAGCAGGAGTTATTGTTGCAGAAAATCTTACCTTAACTGGTTCAATTGGAGTGGTCACAGGTGAACCTGGCTGATTCAGTAGGAGAAAGAAGGGAATGCAAAGATGATAAATTGATAAATTAACTGAAACTTATAATATAGATTTTAAGATAAGTCAAACTGACATAAACATGCTGGTATGTTTGAAACAGATTACCTCATCTGGTATTTTGCTCAATTTAGGAAATGCTTATTATGGGCAGGCACTAAGCTAAAATCAGTTCCCATCCCTCATCCTCCCTGCTTGTGTTAGATGCGTAGAATGTCACTAGATGTCCTTACTGATTAATGTGGTCGTGTAGCTATTTTTCCTTTTGTTGAAATTTTTTCTTGATCTTTCTAGCTCATCTACAAAATCAACTTAAATAGTAGATATGCTGAACAGATTGCTGATTTATGTTAGTGCTCCATGCATAGGAAAACCTTATTATCAACCTGCCTTAGATAGACATGTCAGAATGCTAGTTACAGAGATATCCAACTTATTGTGTGGATATAAATCTCTTCACACACAAATTGGTGTGTCATGTGTTAATAAAAGATGTAATTATTGTGATTTAACATTTCAGTAGACATGATGTTTAGTTATTTTCCATTTTCACTCTATTTTGTGTTGATACAGTACCAGGTATCTTGAGCATTTTATAGGAAGAACAATATAGCTGTTCGAAACAATATTTAATTGGTAATCAAATGCGATCAAAGGAAACTGTAGCTGAAAAGAAACTAATAATTTGAACTCTGAAATATATAGGGAAGAAATTGTAATTTCATTTAGTCAGTGTTCCATATATTGTCCTTGGGTTTTGTAATCTATTAATTTGATGGTATAGCATATTTTTGTAGGAAAGCTTAACATTGGGAAACTTTATGAGAAGATTGGCTTTAACAAAGAAATTTTATCAAGGGGTAGATATGCTGAGCTCCGTGCAGCTGAACAACGTTCTTTCAGGTAATAGAATTAGTTCATTTTCAGTTTTAAAGATTCAGGTGAAGCTGGAGAAAGTATTAACCCTTGCACTGTGCCATCTGATATCTAACTGTGAGGCACTTTCTGTTTGAGAGCTGAAGACTTCTGTTTCTATCTAACTAGGCTTGGAATTCCAATTTTGGGTGATAGAGAAATTCCAATTTTTTTTCTGCAGTATCTGAATCCAGTTAAAATCCTTTTATTTAACCCACCTTTTGGGTTCAATATATTTCTCGTTCTTTGAATCCAGTTATTAGGGAAGTTCCTTAATCAGGTTGTTGAGAGTGTGAACAATTGATTAAACTTGGCTTGGATTCCATATTATTTGTTAATACTTGCAACAGTTATCGGGCTCCCTTTTCAGGATCCCTGAAAAGATGACAATGGTACCCCTAAAAAGCAGGAGCAGAACCAGAGCAAAGACTTTGGAGGTGCTGAAGGTTCAAATTTATAATACAAACGTGTAGAAATGTTTTTCATCAATGGATTGGAGAGTCCCCCTTGCCACCAATGTAGTTCTGCCCCTGACTGAAATATTTTTCAATCTTTGCCAAGTTGATTGTAGCAAAAGAAGAGAGAATACACGGAACAATTTTACTGTCTTTACCCTCTAGGCAATAATGATCACCCTAAACAGGCTCAGGGCTTGCAGTATAGGAATATAATTTTATTAATGCTGATGATGATTTCCATCTAGGTTCTATTTTATATTGCCTGTTTGTCAGTAATGCCTTGGTCTTTCTGTCATTCGTACCTTAATTTTTAACTTGTTGATTGATTTCAGGGTTGGTACTTATCTTTTGTATTAAGTTCATATTTGATTCCGGGGGCAGATTGATATAATCGTTCTCTCTCTCTCTCTCTCTCTCTCTTTTTGGGTACAGACCGGATGAAGCAGAATTATTTTCTAAGTCTGCACAGCATGCTTATAAACAATTTCGTGATAAGGCAGCCTTTTCCAGATCTATGACCGTAAGTTTTAAATCAAATAAGCTATTTTGCATGTTTTCTGTTCATCTTCTTTGTAATTCCAAGTTACAATTACTATTCTGCCACTAGGTAGACAAAATGGAAGAGGTTGCACAGGGGAGGGTGTGGACTGGTAAGGACGCAGCTTCTCATGGTTTGATTGATGCAATCGGTGGGCTTTCTCGAGCTGTTGCCATAGCAAAATTGAAGGCCAATATACCTCAAGACAGACAGGTTGGTCTGAGAATACCTTCATCTTGATATTGAGTATGCTTATACCTCAACACAGACAGTTTGGTTATTGTGCTTGAGCTATTCCAGGTTACTATTGTGGAGCTATCACGACCCAGCCCTTCTCTACCCGAGATTTTGAGTGGTCTTGGTAGTTCTCTTGTTGGAGTCGATAGAACTTTAAAGGAACTATTACAGGACTTGACATTTTCCGATGAAGTCCAAGCAAGGATGGACGGAATCATGTTTGAGAAATTGGAAGGATATCCATACGCCAATCCCGTTTTGACATTGATAAAAGATTATCTCAGCTCCCTGTAGTTTGTTTTCCTTCTATTTTGTGCTTTTCGTTTCAGTATAATATGAAATCTACGTGGAATCCATTGTAAAGCACAGGCCCATGCGTGATAGTGAATAGAGCTCTCATTATGTTGTGTATATGGCTGCCGAGAAAACTATATTCCAAAAACAAATTAGAAATGCTATTTTGCACGAATACAATTTTACGAGGATACTGTGCTCGTTTGTTGGAGTATTTTCAATCAAAAAGTCACTTCTAAAGATTTTGATGTGTTTAATTTTTAAAAAAAAATCTGATTATTTTGAGCAATAATAGAGTAGTTTATATAAATTTGAAATTAAAATCATAATTATTTTTTAAAAATAAAACTACTAAGTAAATAAAAACAATTTCTCCATTATATAAATTTCAAAAATATAAATCATTATTTTATATAATCTTTAAATTACTTTTCTTAAAAGCATAAACGAGTGGGCTCGCAATCTTTTACGCTAAATTGGTTGTCGGAAAAGAAAAGGAAATACAATCGAAAAAATATTGTGAAAAATACCCTAACCCAATATTAGCTATATTACGGAGTACTGCAACAGTGCAATTGTATATTCTTTTTAGTATATAATACATGATATTTATTTATTATATTATGAAATTATTTATTTAAATCATTAAAGACTTATTTATTTAAATTATTGAATCGGATAAAATGGTAATAAAACTCATTTTTTGAGTATTTAACACAATAATATTTATTGAGATTTGAACTTGTAAGCATATTTAGAAAAATATTTTAAATGACTCTTCGAGTATTATTATTAACAATAATAATATCTTGTAAACTTGTATTTTTAGGATACTAGTTAAGAAATTAAAAATTATTAAAGAAATTATGTTAGAATGTATTAAAAATTGTTACAACTAAAAATAGTATTTTTACTAAAACTCATTTAATACTGCTTGTAATATAATTGGACTCGAGGGAGAATTTTGTGTCAATTGCTTATCATATTTTTTCACGCACCCATGGACACAAAATAAACTTTAGCCATTTCATACGCTGAGAGTGTACAATAATTTCGTATTTTCTATTCTTTTGGTTGAAGAGAGGTAAAGTTTTTACAAAGCCAAGAGAACTGGATCTGAATCACCCATTCAATGGAAATTCAGTATGGTATATATGATAATCCCATGGTAGAGTATCTTATCAAAATCATATTACAGGTTATAACATAGGACCACGAATATTATAACATTGTCATATTAAACAATATGTACCATTTCTCAAGCCCACAAGTAACAGTGTAACACCTCTAGTAATTAATTATCTCTTATACTTGTTCAATATTTACCTATGAGCTAGATTTCTGGTACTACATCACTGAAACCGACCACAGCTTCAGGCTAAAAGAGTCTCTGAGTCAGATTCAACACAAATGCTTAAAAAGCACTGAGAATGCATCATAAAAAAACAAAAAGATATAAATGACAAAACAAGTGTTCTTAAAATTCTGATGTACCTGTACCTCAGAACCTGCTACTTAAAATGGCTATGCTCTAGAAGTTGCAATTGGTCGAGTTGAAGGCTCAGCTAGGAAACCATTAGGGATGTGATGAGGTTGTTCAGCACTTCCAGCAGGAACTAACAAGTCAGAGAGGGCTACTTGAAGAGATGAAACTTTCTCTTTGAGTTGAGCATTTTGTTGATGGATTTGTTGGTTACATTCCAACAAGTAAATGATCTTTTGGGACAGTTGATGGTTCAATGTCTGCAGTTGATCAACATGATACTGCAACACTTCAATCTGTTGCTTCTTTCGCATTCGTGACCGGCGAGCAGATTCTCTGTTGGAGAACATTCTTTTCTTCTTTCTGTCTTCAAGGAGAGCCTTTGCTTCATCAGAATTGTTGTTGTTGTTGTTGGTTGTGTTATTACTATTTGATGATGTGTTTGGAGAGGATTTATGGAGTGGGATTTGAATTGGATTGCTGCTGTTGCTAGGAAGGTGTAATTCGGAGCAGTAAAATGGAATATGATGTAAACCATGAGATGAACCCACATGGGTCAAGGTATGGCCTTCCCCAGTTTCCATGTTAAGGAGGCTTGAAGCCATGATTGGTTTCTGGGTTGGAGGGTAGTGAAGATACTGAGTTACGGAAGCATAAGGTACTCCATGGAGTTCATCATCTTCATTGCCTTCCATGTCTCAAATTATCATGTGAGACAAAGGGAGAGCTGGAATTAATGGACTTAGAGCTTTTATAGATTAGATAGTTAATGCAAGTGGAGCACTAGTTGGTAAGGATAAGGGAGTTTCTTGGCATTTAAGTTTGTTGATGTATTTTTAGATATGTTAAGTTCCGTAGATCATCTTGGTTCTGCATACTAGGAAAGTTGAGAATACGGGTGTGATCGAGATTAATAACAAATAATGGCTAGATAACATTTACGCTGCAGTATGGTCTGGAATAATTGACATAGAGACCCAAGAAAATTGAGAATTAAGATGGTTTAATAGCTGGGAAGGCAATGCCATTGAACTTTTTGACTAAGTGAGCCTGAAACATGGTTGAAAGCAACAAATTCAGTGATTCTCCAACCTAGATGAGAGCCGGAGGAATAAATAATGCCATATAAGCGCATAGCCTCATACCCAATTCAGTAAAATGCTGGCTAGGTGACTCTATCTGCAGTTCTTTTTTCTAATTCTGGTCTTAATCATGTAATTATACTCAAAGAATAAATGGCAATGCGCGTTAACTTTTTCTTTTAACTACATCTATTTCAATCTAAATTTAGGAAACAAAAACTGAAGCTCATTTTAACCCAATGAATTTGCTACTACTAGAATTACTGATATTTGAGGATATACTCAAAAATTGAAGACGCTGTTTACTGTAATTTCACGCTCTAAATTAAATAAAATGCCAGGTACTATGGGGAAAGGAATGAAATAAATGGCATTCTTGGCGTCTTCTTGGACTACTCATCATAAACTTCAATTATTCCTTGGTGGGCGATGACAGAGAGATATTAACTTACACGGATTACATTTACGTGCCAAGGTTAATGCTTATATTTAGTATCTGCACTTGCCATTGAAAAGTTCTTTTCTTCCCTACTTATTGCGTATACAGTGCAGATGCTAATCAAAAGTCTAATCTTTTCTATGATACGTATTCTCATCCATAGTAAATCATTGGTTTTTTGACAATATTGTAATGTAGAGCTTCAAACCTATCTTTCCAGCGTCATGTGTGGATGAGTGGATCTTTTAACTCTCGGGCAGTTTAGTTTACCATCAAAATCAGTTTCACTTACTGAAACATATTTACGACTAAAATTTATTTGAGTTCACGTCCCAATTACATTCAACAATATAACATTAATTTTATCAAAATTTACAACAATCAGACACAATTTATAACAGCAGTCACCAACAAACAATAATCTGTGCAGTTTAACTTCTGGTAAAACTGATGTTTTAGTTATTGATAATGAAATAATTGATATCAATAAATTAATTTGCTTTTAAAAAAATTATAGATACACTGATAACAAATGTTTTTATTTAAATAACAAAATAAAATTACTTTTAAAGTATAAAAAAATCTTTTAAAATTTTATGAACCTCAGACATATAAATCAATTCTATTTAAAACTAAAAGTTTTTTTGTTTTCAAAATCAATTCTACTTGTTTTTTGGGTGCTAGAATATTTTTCACCACACAACCAGACACCTATAAATGTACAAATTCATTAATCTCAAGGTAAAAATGTGTTTAATGTCCAAACAGACTAATAATACTCGGGCATAACACGAAAACTCGGAACAGGTCCGGTAGTGTTAATGAAGGTCAGGTTTTCTTCATCTGTCTGTGATTAATCGATTTAATCAGTTAAAACCAAGATGTGCGATAGACATGAAAATCGGCTTAAACTGCTAAATGCGCATCATAACGAAAAAAAATGCTACGCAAATCAATAATAGCAAAAGATATTGAATGTCAATCGGCACTATCTATCCTTACTGATATAATTTTATCTTAAATATCATTATTTGGTAAACAAATTAATTGATTAAAGAAATTATATTAAATTTCTTAAGTACATAGGAGTGACGAAAATCATCGACATTAAAGAGTGAATGGACACTTCAGCTAATATAAATGATCTTCAGCAAGTACCTCAACAAGCACACCCCTAAGAAAGGAATGAACCTCTTTTGTTTATATCATCCAAAATAATATTTTCCACAACAAATGTCAAATTTCGAGCAACTCTCAAAAGGATGCAATCTTCGAATTCCCACATCATAACATTTTCAGGCAATTGCACCAAATTTGACTATACGCAAATAAAATTCCAATTATGAAAGTCACAAAGAAAATGCCAGTTATATCAGAAAATGGCCAAGGCATAGTTATAGTAATCTCCGCGAACATAAAAGAAGGCCATAAAGCTAAACTCTGGTTGTCAAACCTTAGTACTGCAATAACAAGTCCTAGAAAACACAATCCAAACAAGAAAAGAGATTCAGGTAAAAAGTTTCTTCCCCAAAGGCACATAAAGCCACCAAGACTTGTGACACACCATGAAAAGATAAACAGATCAGAATAGAAGCACCGAGCTGAAATAAAGCTAAGAAGCAAAGTTGGTCAATTCATCTATTAACACTAAACTAAAAAGGGCCTAAAGGCTTTTTTTTTCCCAAAACACAAAAGCCTCATCCACGCTCTCTATGGTGGAATACAATCATGATTACTATTAGTCGACTTCATCAATCATTTAGGTTGTCAAAGGGACCTGCTTACACTTGAAAAAGTTCAATCATGCACGTGACTCAGAATGACACAAAGATAAACACGAGCAGAAACATTCAAAAAGCACCACCAAACTATATTCCAGCGAAAATTGGTTCATTTCTATGATGTATCCCAAAGTACAATTCAAAGAGAAAACATTCTCAAACTAAAATCCCAATGAGAAAATTTGAAAATCAACAAACACATGCATATCTTCAGGACCAAAAAATCTATACTTGGAACAGCCTAACGCTGAGAAATTGTCAATTCCCAACTGACCCTAATAACCATATACCACCATCATTCATCATCATCACATGCTCCGGGCCGATCTCTGGGCCTTCCTACGCTCATAATCAGCGTCATCAGTGGGAAACTCGTAGCGACAAACGGGGCAAGTATTCCGAATCCCCAACCAAGGAACGATGCAATCACCATGATAACGATGCGAACACGGCAACAGCTTCGGGCATTCCCCAACACCAAATTCCTCCTTGCAAACAGCACAGAAAGCATTGTTACTATCGACGTCATCTTTGGTCACAACCACCGATGGAAGGTTCTGCATAACGGAAACAGAAGCAGGAGGCCTTCCCATTATGGGGTTATCGTTCTCACCCAATTGCCCAAACGTCATTTCATACTCTGCAGTGTAAATGTATGCATCAGCATCAGCGAAATAAGGCTCTGTATCGTTTTCCAAATCAGGGTTTGTATTCAACAACACTTGCCACTCCAGATTCTCACCAAGGTTCACTTCCTCTTCTTCTTCATCTTCTATGACTTCTGTTATTGGCGAAACGGAAACTGACCTATCGTCTTCGACGGCGAGCATGTTCAGAACCTCTCTCTCGTCCACTCTACCGTCCACTTCCTCCCACTCGAAATCTTCGTAGTTGTCTCTGTTATCCTCTAATTGAAGCGAGTCCCAGCAGAGAGGAATGCTGGAAACGTCGTCGTTTTCGTTGTAGTCATCGTCCGAGTGGGGGCAGATGCCGAAAACGACGTTGGCTTCGTCCTCGTCGGTGTCAGAGAAGGCAACGAAGGGAACGCGGTGGTCAGGGGAGTGGGATCCGGAGAGCGTGGTTCCGACGAAGTCGTCGGCGTCGTCGGCGGCGGCGAAGGCTAGATCGAGGGGGAAGCCGTCGATGACGCCGAAGAGAGAATGGTTAGGGAGCGGATCGGAGAGCTGGGACTGTTCAACGCGTTGGTGGAAGAGATCCATGACGAAATTGACCTTGTTTTCGTTGTCGGAGAGGGAGAAAGGGTTGGGGGGGAATTCGGGATCGGAGGAGTAGAAATCGAAATCGAAATCGAAATCGTGAGGGGAGCAATAGGGGAAAGGGATAAGGGTTTGGTCGTCGTCGGGGTCGCAGCGGTGGTGGCGGAGGTAGGTGGTGACATCGGCCATTGATGAAGCAAAGTGTGTGTGATAGAGAGAGGGTGTTACGCTAATGCTATAACGGGTGGGATATGTGGAATGACTGAAATGCCCCTAGTTAATGTTCAATGTGCATGCCTTGTCCCCTCCGGAATGCGTGGAAGAACACCGTCTCTTTCGCTCTCTTTACGCACACACGTTGTTGCTTCGTCTTCTTTATAAACCTCACAAAATCAAATCAAATATCAAATATATATATATATATATATATATATATATATAATTATACTACTAATTAATTTTCGATTTTGGATCCCCCTTTCTTTCTTTTTATTATTTATTATTTATTATTATGCTTAAAATTTAATCCATTTTTACTGTATATCAAAATAGAATTTTTTTATGCCCCTGCATCTGTCTATTTATTGTAGCCATTTAAATAGTCGATTTATGGCGAGCATAGAGATATTATAACTTTAAATTAATACCACAATAAATGTTAATTGATTGGAGAGAAAATATTTATTTCCATTTTTCTTTCCTGTCACGTAATATTAAATTCATTTGTTTGAAATTAAAGATAAAAGTTAGGTATAATGTTTTTAATATTTTGTATTATTTTTTAAGTAAATTTGCTGTGGTAACGTTTATTACTCTTTGATGTTCATTTTTATTAAGTAAACTGTTAAGATAAAAATTTAATTCTAATTAGAAAACAGTATTAGAAGTCGTTATTATATTGTATCTAAGTTTTATTTTAAAATTGATTTTTTAAGATTTTAAAAGTTAACAAAATATGCTAGAGTAAAAATATAGAATTGTTAAATTTAATTTATAAAGTTGATTTTAAATAATTAAAAGTGAATATTCCTTTACGGCTCTGAAATAGAGGTAAAGGGAGTGATTTGCTGCTCAATTTCTTCAACAAACACAATTTCATTAGAGTTTCACTTTGCTAATTTATGATAACAATAAATATAAATATTTCATTGAATAAAAATGTAATTTAAATTAATAAGAATGTCTAGAAAATAATATATAAATTTTGTAAAATAAAAAAAAAAGAGAGGGGGTTAATTAGATTTTGCAATCCAAGTTGGTAGTACTTCATTGGGACATAGTATTTGTGAAAGGAATAAAATTTGGCTCCATAAATATGTTAATTTCTATTTAAGTGGTAAAAACTTACACTATTGTTCTTGGAGAGTAATAGAAAATATGATTATTGAAAAAGATGAAGAGGAATTGAGATAAACAAAATTGTAAAATTTATTCATATATTACAATTTCGAATTCTTATCGTTGAGAAGAATATTTAAATAAAATATAATTCTTGTTAAGTAAAATAACTACTATTGCATTGAATGGGTGATAAAACGTCATTTTATCATTATTATTTATATGATTTTAGGTAAAATAAAAAAAATTAACTCATTGATTTATTTGTTTTACCTATTTTTCCTATTTGATAAACAAATAAAGAGATTAAATGATGAAAAAAAATATATAAACCATTAAAATCTAAAGCCAATAAAATCATTCTAAGTTAATAAATTAATTTTTTAAATTGAAATTTTACATGTTTTATTTTATTTATCTGTTATTTGTATTTTATGAATTATCTATTATCTCTTGGTTCTTATATATTATCATTTTACTTAGCGACTTAGCTTTTATTTTGTTTAGATTTGACTTGTTTTTTCAAAATCATTCATATATTTTTTTTACGAAGTGATTGCAACTTTTAAACATAAAATATAATCAACTTAGTACATACTCTCTCCAATTGAAAATAATATTTATTTAAGGTCAAACTAAAAAACTTATTTAATTGTCTTGTTTTTATAAAAAAATATTATTAAATTTCCTATTATATTATACTCTTTATATCTCATTTTAATTTTTCATATTAAGTTATCTTTACATGTTAACTTACGTTGACTCTTCGTATATTGTTTTTCATTAATTTTTTTATTATTTATGGGACAGTTATCACATGAAACTCAACTCTATCGTCTTGGAAATGACTGTAACAATAAAGGGGCGATGAAAAAAAAGAGCGAGTGGTTGTTGAGAAAATAAACCTATTAAAATTTCCATAATAATCATATAAAGGTAAAATTGGAAAAAAATTAACGTATAATTGAAAAAATTAATAAAGTGACAAATAATTTGAAAAAAATTAATAAAGTGACTATTATTTTAAACCGTAAAGAATATTATTAATTCACAGTTGTTGAATAATACTTAAATTAAAATAAGATATAGTTAAGAAACAATTCATGAAAAAAGTAACTTTCTCCGATCTATAATCATTCAATCGTAAATTTTCCACTTTTTTTTTCCGACGGTATAATTTAGTAAAGAAAGAGCTACAAAATCCTTATCATTAACGCACAATCACAGAACAGAAACAATAGGGAAAACGAGTCATGAGCAAAAATATTAATAATAAAAGGTTTGTGGCCTGTCGTTGTATTTGGGAAACTAGTCCATTGGACTGAAATGCACACATTATAATGAGCTTCCTTAGGCCCATACTTCCCCAAAGTTTTATCTTATAATATATCCGCAAACGTGGATGAAACATGGGGAAATTCTTTGTATTTGGGTTACTCAGAAATTGGAAAAACTGGGATATTCTAGATTTTTGATCATATGAAGTTAAATATTTTGTATCAAATTCAATAATAATATAGGATTATATTGTTTGGGATCCATCCGTTGAAAAAAGATAGAACAAAGAAAATAGAAACTTGAAAATTTCAGAGAAGAAATAAGTACAAGAAAATGAGAGATATATTTAAAGTTGAGTTGTGAACAAAGTGTTGCTTTTCAGCTCATCAATTTTGCTCAGTCCAACCGTTGCTTCTAAACAATAGAAAGTTAACCATTGTTTTTCACCAGGATGAGGAATCCATAGTTGAAGATACAAATTCCCATTGCTTGTCAACTTTGATCAACCTACTTGTTTCCATGAGATAAAACCCAAAAAAAGTAAAAAGTAAAATACAATTAAATAATGGTTAACAATTGCCGTGAAACCCAACAAAAGTTGAAGACCAATGCTCTGACACCTTCAACTGCTCTCTCTCGTGATTAGACAAATTATTGGGTAATCGAAAACTATCACATGTTTATGGTTTCCATCAAATATTATGCTAAATACGTGGTAATATTTTTTAATTAATAGAATAGTATTATATTTTTCACCACATATCACATGATAATTAGTTGAGACAATGGATATATAATTGATTTCCGAAATTAATATAATTGTCTTTTTAATTTACTTTTTTTAAAGAGCAACTACCCGTACCAATAAGATTTGTCTAAAACATTTTTAAGATATATTTTTTAACTTGTGTTTCTGTTGAAAAGAATATTTGTCTTGTTAATATTTTTTTATGGATGAATCCTCCGTCGCGCATGAGCATTTAAGGAATAAATAAAGGAACATGGACAACAGTTGAAAAAAAATGAAAATCAAGTTGAGGAAATACAAAAGAGTAGAAAAGATGGGTCACACATAGCATCACAGAAAGGAAGAGAACTTGAACAAAAATATAACAAAATTGTAGGGACCAATTCTATGCTTTATTTTGGAAACTTGTATTTTGGTGATATATTGTGTAAGGGAGGGACCATGATTTTGTTTCTCAATATCGTCACTGCTTGCTTATATTTCATCTCTCGTGTGACCACTCTTTTCCTTTCCATAATAAGAACTCACCTCGAATAGTACCTCTTTCCACGCAAAGTCACCCACAATGTTTTCTTCTTGGAGTAGGAGGCATGAAACTAAAGAAAACAAAGGGACTAGGAGCCAAGGAAAAATTATGAAATTTGTTTTTTCGCATAAACTTAAGTGAATAGGTCACATGTTTGTCTACGTCAACTTAATTTAACCTGACTCATTTTGTATGATATGTGATTTTTTTTAAAAATATTTAGGAAAATTTTATGGTATCTCTAAATATTAATGAATTTAGATACTCTTAATAAGTGAATCATGAGAAATTAACGTGTCTACATTTATATTTTACATAATGAAGGACTATTTTTTTTTAATTAAATGTTTTTAAAAGTTTAAAAGTATATAATAATCTTAGGATCAATTTTGTGAAATTATTAAATCAAATCTTAGCCCTTTTTGTAAAAACAATTTTAAGGTATCTTGAAAACTTAAGTTGTGAACGAATAATTGTTAGCATGCAAGGTTAAAAACTTAAAACTTATTAGTTTAGAAACAATTGCAACAATTAAATAAAGAATAGGCCTAAATCCAAAAATTCAGTATAGATTGTAATTTATGTATCGTAAGACACTAGATTATGTTCGTCTCATCTACATTTACATAAAAAAATTTCATACATCTTCTACAATGTAAATAAATGAGTTGTGACTGTCCACAGCAACAACCAACCTTCGCTTGAATATTAAAAAAAAATGCTCCATTTCAATGTTGCCTTAAAAAACGATTCTTAGATATTACAAATGGCCGATTTATATGTTCTTCATCCAAACACCCCCTCCCCAGTGGATTTCAAGAGTTGTGATATTAATTTTAGCAAAATAGCAAATAATTAATTTTAGAGTAAAAACATAATTAATTATCAGTTTTAACATTAGATTTAAACAATTTTGAAATAAACCTTGAATGATTATTTTTCTAATTACAATAGTTAAAAAATTAATTTATCAAATCTAAAAAAAGCTTTTTCTTTTCACACACAACAATTCCATGCTTCAAACTTCAAATCCAAGTTTTTTCAAACTTCACGCCCGCTGTTATTTCAAGCCTATTGACTCCACGTGTATGGGAAATCTAACCTAAATAGTATATTATTTGTTTCCATTCTTTTTATTAAATTGATGGAAAATTATTTTATTTTACTATCTTTGCTTTTATTTTTCTGTCTAAAAAGAAAAAAATACTTTTATTAATTTGAAAGTTTAATATAATATTAATTATTATTCTTTTATTGATGTTCTTTTATGCATATAAGATATTATCTCTGAACTTTATTTATAATTAATTAAAATATTAATTAGTATTATCCCGGTTTTTATTTATCTAGCGGCAGAAAGAAAATTTATTTAAACCAAAAAATTCAATATTTTATCATAACTGTTTGGTGTACTTATCAGTACACCCTTTTATTAATGGGTTTCTCTTAACT